ATGCTTCCTGAAGACTTGCATTAAGTTAGTGATGAGGGAAAATGATTGAATCTGAGGGCCTGGTGTCTTCAGTGTCCCAGCTATGCCATGGCCGACCTTGTTCTCATTGCATATCAGTGTGTATGGCTCAGTCTGCTCCCAGCAAAAGGAAAATACAGGGTCCTCTGTCATCTATCCTGTTACTGTCACTAAAAATGGGAAACAACAGAATGAGCGATATAAAGACATCTCTCTCTTTCTCTCTCTGAGTTAGGTTGATTGCCGTTGCATTTTAGGAGAGACTATTCTGTATTCCATTACACATTTCTTTCTTGCTGTCAAGTTGTCCCTTTCTGAAATTATGGTGATGATAGGCAATAGTAGATTAAAGTGGCTCTTTTCTTTTTAAAATATTCCTGTTTTGCAAGAGAAAAATCCAGGCAACAAAGAGCAGCAAAATTTAGCTTTTTGGGGTAACAGTAAAACGCGTTCTTCAAAACACTAAGAAGAAAAGGAAAAATGTTCCAAGAATCCAGTACCTGATGAGAGGCGGCTAAGCCACCAGGTACTCACCAATAATGTGCCCACCTCCAGCCCAGTGGGAGGTGCGTGAGGAGGGGCCCATAGCTCTGGCCTCAGACACTGTGTGGGCACCTGACACATGCTACCTAATTTAATCTTCTCAAAAGCCTCTTGAGCTAAATAGTGCTCTCTCCATTCACAGCCGAGGCTCAAAGAGGTTGAGTTATTCGCCCAAAGTGACACAGGTAGTATAACCTGAATTTCCCAGAACTCATGAGGCTTCATGTGTAAATGAGGAGGTCACATGAGCATCAGTCCCAGCCAGAAACCACAAGACCGTCAGAGGCCCCACTGTCTCTCTCTCTCTGTTGTACTAGGGAGTCTTGGGAGATGGTTCTCCCATGTGCCCATAAACAGCCCCCTTGCAGGTGCCCACTCTGAGCCCTCATTGATGTTTGGAGCTGGCACAACCCAGGAAGGACAGGCCTCATCAGGCCACTGCTGCCCAGCCACTATGGGAACCAGATGCCCAAAGGCCTTCTCACAGAGGGGCTCCAGAACAGCAAGACCAGGGCCAATTTGTGACTTTGGTGGGCCTTGGTATTTTTGCCCCATCGAGATAAAAAACATTTTAAACTTCATATTTTATAGCTGTGTGGATTTAAATATTAAACAAACTAATATGTATTAAAACATATTTCTGGAGCAAAGAGTTCATTCTTTTCCTTACAAATTTTAAAAGGAAGAAAAACATTTTCATGGGCCCCTAAAATAATCATGGACTCTAGGGTGGGTGCCCACCATGCCTAAGGGGTGAGGAGGTCCTTTGCAAGACCCTGCAGTGGCAGTCTCCTCACCAGTGCCCCTCCCTGTATCTTGACTGATCCAGGAACCAGAGCATATTGCTCTAACCCAAATGTCAATGTCATGTCAGTTTCTACCGGTTTTGCCTTTTTGCTCTTGTTATAGGTGTCAGAACAGTCCCTGAGGTGAGGCAGGAAAATCTCTCTTCTGCCCCAGACACCTACAGACATACTTTAATCCTCAAAGGGTTTTTTCTCACATCATATTATATCGAGACTTATATCAAGTTACATAAGTAGACATCAGGACCTGTGGCATAAGCCAGCACACCACATGCAACCAGATGCTGACCCTGTCTGAGTCCGGCTGAGACAGACACACATGCCCAGGCACACACGGCACCAGGGCTTTGAGTCCAAAGTGGTCTTTCTCTCTCTGTGTGTGGAGACAGGCATCTCTTCATGAGCCCCTCCTGAGGCTCACATGTTCACAAGTTCGAGATATTCTGGTAAAGGAGCATTCCTATTTATTCCAGCCCCAAATGAGTTTGCGTTTCTTTATCCAGCACAAAGATTTGCAATGACTCATGACACCAGGGAAAGCTCAGGAGAATTTGCAATAATTGTCAATAAGCAGGTAGATCTAACATTTAGAATGAAAATCTTTTCTTCTTTAGAATTCTACAGGCTCAGAATCTCCCCCTGGTAATACCTCGAATTCTGCATGTTTTCAGAAAATAGTTTATAAGGAAGAGTAAATGGAATGCGAATGTGTTTACAGCAACATGTTTTGTGTGATGAGAGTGTGCATGGATAAAGGACAGAAAGATTGCTGTGGCTAAAATTTGTGGGACATGAGACATGTTCTTTACCCTGAAGCCACTAAAGACAAAAGAAATAATAATCTGGGATGTATGGCTTGGGTCCTGACTTGGTCTTCTTTTGAGGGTCCATTGACACCACTGTGTCAGGGCCCTTGTCTGGGAATGGTAAATAACTTTATTGAAGATCTTCTTTGTTACTGTGGTCAGTTATGAGCCGGGCTGGGCACGGAAGTCTGTATTGAGGTTGACACCTCAATTGAGTTTTGCTGCCTCCTTGAGAAGCAAATGAGGACACTCCTCCTTAGGTGGAGAAGAGTCAAAGCGTCTGACCTTCCCATCCCTCTGGCATGTGGTTCCCTTGTGCACCTGCACCCAGGTATGCGTCTCTGCTCTGTACGTCTCTGTGCATCTTCTCTGCTCCAAAGAGTGAACTGCTTGTTTCAGCCCTGATGGTCGTGATATTCCCCATGGGGCTGTGACACAGACTGAACCCTAAAAGTAGACCCTTGGGCTCTCAGAGATGAGCATCAGTCATCAGGAGACTGAGAATTTTGGTCCATCACAGCAAATGGATCCCCCCTGGGGATCAACAAAGTACCTGCTCTGCTCTGTTAGTGCTAATGACATGTTGGTACACACTTGACATTTTTTTTTTACACTTGGCATTTTTAAAGAGAATCATGCATATATCTAGCACTTAAAAAATTTGTTGTTTAATTTGTATGTCCTTGATCACTAGAAGGTTAAATTGTATTATGTGGGCTTATCAGCCATTCTCACTCCCTCATCTGTGGGCTGCAAGTGTCTTTAAGGCCCACCTTTCTATTCTGCAATATACGCCTGTTGTGCTAACTGATGTACCCCACACTTTCACCTCTCCCTGATTTGCTACCACAAAACTCTCGTCTGATGTGTCTTATACTCAACATCTGGAGTCCAGTCAGCTGCCATATGACTGCCCTGTGCTCCCCACTCGTTTTGTTTGTGCCATTCAGCTCATCCCTCCAGGGCTGTAAGCAATAGAAGCAGAAAGGATCCTTTAGCTTTTCATTTCCCCACATACAGGCCTCCCTCTCAGCCACCTCTGAATCTGCACCAGGTTTCCATCTGAACAAAACTCCGTCCAGTACTGAATATAGGTTTTTAAACATACTTGTGGAAAGTGCTTTCCATTTTTCTCTAGCCTGGGCAGGTAACAGGACATTTACATGACAAGTCAGCGTGAGCCCTGCAAGAAATCTCATTTCTTTTATTGGCCAGTGAGTACACTAAGGAACGGGGAGGTGGGTACCTGCTCCTGTCATACAGCTAACTAAATCCCAGTTATCTCACATTCCAGCAAGTGCACTGTCTACTCCCAGCCTTGAGTCTGGGTAAACGGCCTGTTCCTAGGTGACAGATGAGAAGCACTGATTCCCTACAGGTGGGAAATTGCTGTGGGTTCCAGTTGGCATTTCCCAGTGGAAAGCAAAACTGGGACAACGACCAAGAAAGAGATCTTGTCTAGTTTTCATATAATTTTTCTTTTAGTCACTTCAGCCAACTGGAGTATAGTTCCCTTCTGACGTGGTCCAGGTTTTTAACCAGACCACAGGTGAAGCTGTTTGCTTTCCTTAGACTGGATGCCAGCCACTCCTCACTCTGGCTTGAGGACAAATAGGAATGTTTTCAGGAGTCAGGACAGTATGTCAATATGCCAGGGGATGGGGTCTAGCCATACGCATGCCAGAAGGATAAGGATTTCATATACACAGATTTCTAAACACTCCGTGATCATGAAAGGATCAAAGTTATTAATAAGAAAGACTTAAGAACTGCTTAGACAGAGTCATCTGCATCCTGACTCTTAACTAAACATGAAACCAAAGGAGTAAATGTATCCACGTTCTCCCCCATCATGCTGAACCTGCTAATCATGTCTTTCTTTTCAGAAGATATACAAAGACACGGTATGGGGCAAACTTTCTAAACACATGTTTCATTTCTAAGCGAAGGGCAACATAATCTCCTCATATACATACAGTGTTGCCTTTTTTAAAACAGACTCCTGTTGGCTCATAAACTGCACAGCTGTGTTCAAGGCAGAAGGAAGTTGGAGTGGAGGAGGGCACCAGATGTATCTCGCCCTCTGATTAGGAAAACAAAAGCTGTTCTAGAAACCTCTCAGTAGGTCTCTACCTCAGGCTCACTGTCAGAACTATATCCCTTGACAATCCCAACCTGCAAGGAAAGCTGGGAAATAGAATATTATTTTCTGTTCACCTCCATAGTAGAAGAAAAGAAGGGAGCATGGGCTTGGGAATAGGTGTGTGAAACTAATACAGTGTCTACTCAGAGACTGCGGAGAAACTCTGTTCTGGTACCCTATCATACAGGTGACAAAAATGACTTCCAGAAATAGGAAATAACTTGGGCAAGGTCCCATAACTAGATGAAGTTGGAGCCCAGGTCTTCTAACTCCCAGTCCAGAAAGCTACCCACTGGACCACACTCTGGACAGTTTCACAGTCTGCGACAGAAGTCGGATTGAGGAAATAGAATACCACCCACCAAATGAGACAATCAACTCAAACTGTCAGCAGTGGGAAGAGGACATGGAGCTTCTACTTGTGCTCTCCTTCCCTCCCTCCCTAAGAATCTGAAATAATTTATAGGGAGTCACAGAAATTAGACCAAGTCAAATCAGTCCTCCTCTGAGTTCGCTTCTGCTGTGTGGATTTTCCTCTCCTCATTCCTCCATCACATTGGTGTTTGTGCGTGGTATTACAGAATCAATCTCATGATGATGAGTGTCACGATACTATAGAATTCCTGTGTCATTGTTAATGTGCTGTTCTTGTCTTCTGTCCCTTTCTGTTATTGGACCAAACAGAAGTATTCTGCTGTTTCTCTCTGCAACATCTCCACAGAAGTCCTGAAAGTCATCAACGCCACAGAGGAGTTGATAGCAGAGTCTACAGGGCCCTGGGAGTCCCCACCAGTCCCTCCTGACAGAAAGAAGGGGACATTTCCTCTTGGGACCGACCAAGTGCGACTGGATGAGCAGCTGACCTCCCTGGAAGAAAACGTAAGAGAGTGTGGATGTGCCTTGGCAAAGGTGAATGTGTTCAAAGAGGAAGCTGGTGAAGTTGTAGCTTATCACAGGAGTAGAGGACACACACACACCACATCACCAGCACCTTAGAGAAGAGATTCTCAGGAAGGGAGTGAGGCTGGGCTCCCCAGGAGCAGACCTGAGATGAGGATTTGTATGCAAGCGACTTATTAGGAAGATGCTCTCAAGGGGGTTGGTACGGGAAGGAAGAGGAAAGAATCTGAGCAAGGGTATGATCTCACACAAAGGATAGCTTCAGCCTGATTCTTCAGGGAGCTCTAGAGTTTGAGTTGCATGTCAGAGGTGTGCTGACATAAGGCAAAGGAATTGGCCCTTCTTATAGCCAACAGGCACTTCAGTCTCTCTGCATGCAGGTAAAGTGTCTCCAGTAGCCCCAAAGGAGTCCTCCCTGTAGATGTGAACTTCTGGGGACAAAAGGACATTGAATCTTGGTGCGCAGAGAGGAGGGTACATAATAGCTATAACAGACATCCATGAGGCTCAGGTGGAGTTTTGCCAGTGGAAAGAGAATGGTGGCCAGAACTTAGGTTGCTACAGCTGGTCTGCCCAGCTTCCCTAACTTAAGATACCAACACAATTATCTACTTTTTCTGTTTCCAATGAATCACTCAAGACTCTCCGTGCCCTTGGCAACAAGAAGCCCACCCCCTTTCTCCTGAGGCTACCATACTCCCCACCTGAGTTTTCCAGGTACTCTGAGAACTAAAACCCCATTGCACTACCTGTGTTACCTTGTGAACACATATGGACCCCAAATTCTGCCACATAACTCCTCCCCCAATTCTAGTTTTTGTTCCCATCCTTTTCATGCACAAAGAGGCCAACCAGCCATTGCTAGTGGACCTGGCTGACCAAGAGAAAAATGCCTAACATCAAATATGTGTAAAGTGCATTTACAGTGCTTAGCACAAAATAAAGACTAAATAAATGTTAGATATTCTTATTCGTATTTGACAGGCAAGTCATCAGCCAACTCCTATAATGATCCCATTAACAAACATTAAAGAATAAGTTGTTGAAAGTGCTTCCAACCCTCATAACAAACACTCTTAGCTCTTTCTCTCATCCTAGGATAAGTATGCACTTGCTGTTTTCAAGAGGAAGATATTTGAGAAAGAAAGGAAATAAAATAAGTTCCTGTTGGTGATCTTGCTTTGTTGAAAAATCACCCATTTTCACTGAGGTGTAGGCAGCATGGCCCTCCCAGCTGCCTCGTTCATCCTGAGTTTACTTGTTGTTCTGTCTGAGGACCCTGATGCAGGCCTCCCGGCCCTTCCCCAGTGCCCACTCCTGTCCCGCCAGAAGGAAGCCTTGCCTGAAGGTCAAGGGATAGAGGGCAGGGAGGTGGGATCTACGGAGTTTCTGGAAAGGAGGAAGGGATGAACCTGCTTCAACACTTCAGGAAGGTTATAGGCCGTCAGTCAGGTCAGATGTTCCCTGTGCAAATTTGTACCTGTACATCTCCGAAGGCAAAAGCAAATGAATGTGCTGGCGGGAAAGACAGTGCTTACATTCACGCTTCTTCACATCCAGTTCCACGGAGACTGTGCTCCTGTAAGCTACTTGCAGATACAGTGATATTCATGCACCACGTAATGACGTTTTGGTCAATGACAGGCTGCATGTGATTCTAATGGAGGGAAAAACTCCTGTGGCCTAGTGCCTAGTGACATTGCAGCAACCGTAAGGCCTTGGCACAGCGCATTGCTCAGCGTGTGTGGTGCTGCTGCTGTACACAAACCTACCGCACTGCCAGTTGTATGAAATGATAGCACATACAGTTACGTGCAAGACATAAACTTGATAATGGTGATGATAAAAGATGGCATTGGTTTATGCATTATGTATACTACACTTTTCATGGTTATCTTAGAGTGCGCTACATATATTTTTTTTTTTAAAGTTAACTGTAACACAGCCTTGAGCAAGAGGCAGGTCCTTCAGGAGGCATTATCATAGGCCATGACAGCTCCTATGCGTCTTAGGAAGGTCCTGAAGACCTTCCAGTGGGACAAGATGTGGAGGTGGAAGGCGGTGATATGGATGACCCTAACTCTGTGTTGGCCTAGGCTAATGTGCGTGCTTGTGTCTTAGTTTTTAACAAAGAGTTTAAAAAGTAAAAAAATTTTAAAATTTAAAAATAGAAAAAAGCTTATAAAAAAAGCAAGCATATAAAGAAAGAAAATAGTTGTATACAGCTATACAGTGTGTTTGTGTTTTAAGTATTATAGGCAGTCCCCAGGTTACAAACAACAGCTTCTACAGGGCTGTTTATAAGTTGAATTGATAGATAAGTTGGAACACGTACCTATTATCTATAATAGAATGTGTTCGTAAGTGCAAGTCATATGTCAGTCAGCTGTTTGTAACTTGGGGGCTTACTCATAAGTGAAGTTGTACGTAAGTCAAGTGTTTATAACTCAGGGACTGCCTGTATTACAAAAGAGTCAAGCTAAAAAAAATGCAAAGGTTTATCAAGTAAGAAAGTTATCGTAAAGTTAATTTATTATTAAAGAAAAAATACCTTTTTGATAAATTTAGTACAGTCTCAGTGGGCAGTGTCTGTAAAGACCACAGTAGTGGACAGCACTGTCCTGGGCTTCACACCCACACCCCACTCACTCGCTGGCTCACCCAGAGCAGCTTCCAGTCCTGCCAGCTCCGTTCATGCTAAGTGTTTTACACAGACATACCACTTTTATCTTTTATGCCATGTTGGCACTGTACCTTACTACCTTACTATGTTTCAATACTCAAACACTCACCAGTGCTTCACAGTTACCTCCAGTGTTCAGTATGGTAAGGTACTGCACAGGATTGTAGCCCAGGAGCAATACTTTACACCATGTAGACTAGGTGTGCAGGGGGCTGTGTTCACACAACAGAATCACCCAAGACACATTTCTCAGAATATATCCCCATCATTAATTGATGCAATACTATTTTTATGTAAAAGGACTCCATAATTTCCCATCTTCCATTCAAGAAACAAAAAATTCTT